GATAGATAGATAGATAGATAGATAGATAGATAGATAGATAGATAGATAGATAGATAGATAGATGGATAGATAGATAGATAGATAGATAGATAGATATGCTCTGTTGAAAATAATGTTAAAAGAGAGTATTTCCTCTCCACTGTCGCTGCATGCATGTTCAGTATTAGGGATTTCTGTTAAGGCACTAAATCGATGCAATCAGATGGTTTTCCTGAAAAAGAAACTTTGAACCAATCTGACTTTATGATTTGATTGAATTGTCTCTAAAGTGCTTGAGATAAAATGTGTTGTGAATTGGAGCGATATAAGTACAGTTTAGTTAGCTGCTTCTGGCTGACCTGCAACAGAACAATTTCAAGCGGCCTACTCTAGTTCCTGGTTATATCTTTACAGTTTTAGAAATTATTAACAAAGGTTTACTTTCAAGCTTTGTCAGTTCTTTTTTTTTCCCTTTTCTGTCCCCCCCCCCCAAAATGTCTGGATGGATGAATAAATTAATGAATGCATGAATGAATAAATGATTGAATAAATGAATGAATAAATGATTGAATAAATGAATGAATGAATGAATCAATGAAAGATCAACAGACAGACTAACACAACCTCCCAACAAAAAGTAAATCAATATTACCCAAAAGTCCAACATATCTGAATATAATAGTTTTCATGCTGAAGGAGGTATAAAAAAAAAAAAAAAATCCTAAATAAAATTCCACACTTTTCCAGACTGCATGAATTTTGATTTTACTTTTTTTAGAGGCTCTTGTATCATATTTAAATGGTTGATATAAATATTTATTTTTATACAACTTATTTTTTCATCCTAGCAATAAAAAAAAAATAAAATACAACTCCTTATTTGAAATTTAAAGGTCTTCTTTGTTAAGTTTGCAAATTTTCAAGTTTGGGATACCTCTTACCAAACGTGCCGAATCCAACCAAGGCTATTTTACCTTAATATTTCCAAAGCTATTTACACCCACCAATCAATCAAACAGTTTTTTTGGACTATGGTAGGAAGCCTGGGTACCCAGAGATAACTCACACATACACAGGGAGAACATGAAAACTCTGTTCCAGAGAGCTATAAACACCCAGTTTAAAACAAAACACATTTCTCGGTTATATGTCTTAAGATGTTTATTTAACTGCTTAATTTGGTTCAGCCAATAAAAACTGAGCTGCTTCTATCATACAACAGGAGTTAAAAAGTGGACTATGTGACACAAAAACCCTTTTGTACATATTGCATCAAGGATGGAAAAGAACTATTTTCTTCCATTTGTTGTAAAAAAAAAATATATATATATGTATATGTATATATATATATATATATATATATAT